CAACATCTTCACAACAATGTCCTTCCCTGCGTATGTAATGCAGGATAGTAAGCAACTTTCTATTAGCATATTAATTATCAAAATATTAATACAGGTGAGCAATGCAAAGGAATTGTTTTTTTTATTGATATTGCACTTAAATTTCCTTATATTTCAGTTATTTGTTCACGCAATTTACAGCTCTGCCACACTCGCAAAAGAAGAAGAAAATTATTATATCATATGAACAAACACAGAACATTTCAAATAACAAAATATACACAAACTTTGATATGAATTAAGTTCAATATTGCAACTAAATCATTTCCTTCATTTTACAATGCTAAATAGAGAAGTTAATAAAACACCATGGCACTGAACACATTAATTTCCACATAAGCACAACATTAAACAAAGGAAAGAAATATTATCATTCAGATATGCTCTTCAAACAAAGGAAATTTAAATGTTTTTTTTTTAAACCTTGATGCAGTAAATCACGCTTTTGTATATATGCGCACCATAGTCATCAGTCATCATCATCATCATCATCATCATCATCATCATCATCATATCACCATCACATCATCATCATTTACCGTTACCATTATTGTTATTATCATTCATTACCGTTACCAATTACTGTTATTATCATTATTATCGTCATCATCATTAATATCATCATCATTATCATTATAATCATTGTTTTGCTGTTATTTCATATCATTATAATCATATTCTTATTTATTTCATTATCATTATCATTATTTATTTTATGATTACTTATTAATCATTACTGGCATTGCTAGTACCATATATTCATTATTATCATATTGTGCCCATTATACAACATTATCATTAAAAACACAAATATTCACATTAATCATATCAATCAATTTTGTCATTTTACTATCAATACAATTAAATAAAAATGAAAAAACAACAAAACAAAATCATCACAGTTGAATCAAAGCTATTCAAAACACTAATCTACTTTTTTCAACTATTTGATAAGAAAAAGGCAAAGGAAAAAGAAAGAAAAGAAAAAAAGAAAGAAAAGAGACAGAAAAAAACAAAACAACACGGGCGCAAACACTTTTTTCTTTGTTGCTGTTGTTTTGTTTTTCTTTCTTTTTTTTGTAAATTAGTTTCCGCATACCTCTTTGGAGAAGCTCTGAATGTTGCGCAATTTTGAACTTTATGGGAGTTGGAAGTCTGTACATTTTTTTTTTGGGGGGGATAAACTTTTTTTTGTTGGGAGGGAGAGAATAAACTTTTTTTTTTTTGAGGGGGAGAATATTCGCTAAACACCGTCCTCATCGCTATCATCACCATCAACACCATATCAACATCTTGAATTACACCCACCATACAACGTTTCTCCCACTTATTGCGAGAAAAAAAAGAAAGAAAAAAAAAAACTGAAGTAAATTAATACGTAAAAAAAAAAAAAATAAAAAATAAATAAAACAATAGATAACTAGCACAAAAATAAATAAATAAGGAAAAAAACTCACGATGGTGAAGGGTGTGGCGTGAGGTAATGGGGAAGGGGGGGGTGGGGGTGTGATAAGGGTGAAAAGGAGAGGGAGCAGGCTGAAGTTTAGGGTGAGAGTGTGCAGGAAGAGGGGGACGGATAGAGATGAGGAAAACTTGAGCCGGAAAGGGAGAGAGTGAGAGTGAGGTGTAAATTTGAGAGTGACACGAGAGGGGGTAAATGGGGAGGGGTAGTGAGAGAGAGGGAGAGAAATGATGGGGGGTCAATGAGTGGATGGGGATGAAGGTTAAGGGAGGGAGAGCTGAGGGCCAGATGAGGGGAGGGGAAAGTTAGAGAGAGGAGATGAAAGAAAATGGAGAGGGCGCGAGTGGAGAGAGAGAGGGAGAGGAGAGAGCATAGAGAGAGAAGGAAGGAGAGAGAGTGTCGGAGGAATATTCGGGCAATCAATAAGAACATTTTAGCACGAAATCACGGGAGACATATGGGCTGCAAGACGCTAAGTGACCTGAGGGCGCCCCCCCAAGCCGTACCCAGGCGCCGCCGGAAGACGCGCCGTTGACCCGACGCGGCCGATATCCGCTACCCAAGCGGAACCAAGGGACCCTCCAGGACGCGCCTGAGGGCGCCCCCCAAGCCGTACCCAAGCGACACCGGAAGACGCGCCGTTGACCTGACGTGGCCGAGATCCGCTGCCCAAGCGGAACCGAGGAACTCTCCAGGACGCGTCGGAACGGGCAGTTCGCGCTGAGACACGCCACCGTCAACACCCTTGGCTGACCTCTACTTAACGTCCGTGCTATCCGTGCCCTTCTCTCGTGACCCCGCTTACCGCTTGAAGAATAAAGACATAAGAAGCACCACGGCCTTTGTCTACACCCATTTGTGAATCCCTCACAAGTGGCGGCAGCGGAAAACTCTTTCGCAACAAGAGAGACCCCAGCCTCCGGAAAGCAAGATAGGTCAAGAAAAGAACCCTACGCTAACCCCGCCGCGCTCCCACGAACCCACGATCTGCGGCGTCCGAGTCCCCGTGACGCCCACGCCGAGACAACAAACAGCTCCTCCAGCCGAAGCCAAGGTACGTGCGTGTCTGAATTAGTGGTGCTTACTCAACCCCCCCTCTTTCCCCCACCCATCCCAAGGCCCGATACAGTGTAACTTATCATTGTTGTTAAAGTCGGTATACTTTACATTTGCTAATTCCGTAGCGATTGATAATTTTGTGTTTTTTTTTCTCGGGTTACGCATCCCTTGCACAGCAAAGTGACGTGAATAGTTAGTACGAATCACCTTACATGAGTTCTACAACGAGAACCGGAAAATCCTTTAAAGATAAAGTGCTGGACCCACTCGCAGTGTTAATGGGACATAACGAAACGAACGACGACAGAGTGCAATCACCCACCCCATCCACCTCTCATCATACTTCTCTACCTGTACAAAACCCATCTACTGCTAACTCTCCCCCTGTTAACCCAATTTCTGACTCCTCTGATCTGACCTCCCCTTTGGCCAATCCTTCTCCATCCTCCATTCTCCCTCCATCCTCCATTCTCCCTCCATCCTCCAACACCCACCCATCCTCCCACGCAAACACTACCATGGCGCAATACCACCCTCACCAAACCTTCAATGTGTTGACGAAATTCGATGGAACCTCTATGCCCGTTGAAAATTTCTTAAGGGATGTTGAAATATCGGTACGACAAAGTGGAGTTCCCGACACCGACCCGAAATTTAATGAACATTGCGTTATAAGTGCTGAGTGTAGACTAGACCTTACCATCCCTGACGTACGTAACGCCCTGGACACGTTCAAGACTGCTCCCTTGGCCTTATGCAATTGGGAAAGATTTAAGTCGGTCTTCCAAGCATCCTTCCGGCCAGTCGACGCAGGTCATCACTTGCAATTCGCAGCCCTTATTGCAATGAAGCCAGCGTCGTTGTCCGAACAGGATGTGCGGGCTTACTGTAATAAGCTCCAAATTGCGATTTGGAAATGGGTGCAGTCCATACCGTCGAACGAGCCCTGCCCTATTAGAAAAGAATTTGAGGGGAAAACTATGGTCCGTGGATGACGTACTTCACCAAGGGAATCCTGGCCTCGTCCCTGCCATTGGCGGTTAGGGAAAAGGTCTGGAGGTCCTGTGAATCAGTCTCCATTTATGCTCTTCCCGGCGAATTCGCGAAATCGGTTAAAGAAAAGTCACCTACGGCAGCCGTACATGCAGGCGTTGTGACACAGAACGAACACACACACAAATACGACATACAACAAGACACCCGACCAACTCAACAAACAGGCCTGAACCCGCAACCCCCAATACACAACACAACACCCGGACCAGTTCAACGACACAACAATCAGCACGCCACAACACACTATAATACACAAAGACCATCACCAACCGACAGCATACTTTACACAGACAATACACGGCACCTCGTCCATCCAGCAGCAAGCCCGCAATAACGAGATGGTTACCAAGTCCAGAGCAATGTTTTAATTGTACAAGGTACGGCCATATCGCCGCGGACTGCACGTTCCCCTCGTCGTGCCCGTATCACCATACAGTAGCAAGACATAACTGGGCGAACTGCAAATCCTTCCCAGAACAGGTTAAAATAACTCGCGACCTGCTAAAACAACGCAGACATAAGCAGCGATCTTTTTTTGGAGTCGAAGGGACAGACATAGACATAATCGAATTACAGAACGACTTCCGCGATTCCCTCAGTTGGCATCAGACGTAATAGATCCCATACGCCATATATCAACATCATGCATTCCCAACGACGAAAGCCAGCCTCCTCTCCTCCCCTCTACATTGAATAATCGTCGTGCATACTTTTTCTTGGATAACGGTTCATCATGTAGTGTAGTATCCATTGATACCTTAAAGGAGTTTGGTTTTTCGTTGGAATTGCAGCCCTCCCATACGACCATCTGCGGTATTACGGTAACACGACGAGCTCTCTGGGAAGGAAGATTTTAAACATCGAAATCGGAGGTATTACCTTTCCCCATTCATTTGTTGTTGTAAACAAAAATTTCACCCCAGGTAATCTACTACTGGGTCATGATTTCTTGTTCAGAAGCGGCATTTCCCTGCATCCACAAAGTAATTCCATCATCTTCAATGGTGTTAAGTACCCCCTGAGAGAGCCCTCATGTTTGTGGACACACCCCGATCCTTTTCACCCGTCGATGTTGATATATGAACAACGCAAAGAAAACGGACTGCTTGCACGCACGACAGCGACTCACCCCAGACCTCCCCCACCCTCCCCCCCCATCACCCTTCTCCACCCGCCGCGGCCCCTCCCTTCCTACCCCCACCCTCCCTCCCACCCCGGGGAATGCCGACGACACGGGTTCATATTCGCGTAAAGTTGCGGATCGCTCCACTCAAGACAGGAGAGTCGACCGTAACGTTACCTTTGCGAGATCCCCGTCACCCGCGCGCAATGACGACCTTGACGACCCCCGCGCTCATTCATGGACTCGTAACGATGTTTTGCCCCAACTTACCTTGACCGCAACGACGACGATCCCCCTTTCAGTGACCTCTTATGTAACGTGTCCGCATCGACGGCAGACGGCACGGCACTGGTGTTAACAGACCATGTACGAGTAAAAGGCTGCGCAGCTTTGCCTTCACTTTATAAAATAGTAAATGGTAAATGCCAGGTACACCTCATGAATTTGACCCCAGTCCCCCTCGAGATTAGAGGAGGCGTACCTGTACTTAACTTCGAATTCACCGATCTCCCAATCCGCGAATTCGACTTGCCTACTCCCTCCCCCGTCTGCGCAGCATCACATAGCCCTCCCCAGGTTAACAATGAAGTTCTTCAAGATATTCTGTCACAGAAATTAGCCTTTCAGGACGGCTATAATATCTTGGAAAAGATTTTTCACGATTACCCGACCGTACTGCCGTCAAAAGACCGTCTCATAGGAAGTACTGATCTGATTGAACACTCCATTTCCCTCGAGCCTGATGCGAAACCAGTTTACATTCCATCATATAAAATCCCGCATTCAAAGCGGAAGGCTCTCGAAAATGAAGTGCAAGGAATGCTGGACATGAACTTAATCAAGAGAAGTAATTCGCCCTGGGCCAGTCCCATGATTCTCGTCCCCAAGAAAGACGGATCATTTAGACCCGTCGTAGATTACCGTAAGCTTAACGCAGTAACTATTCCAGAACCGTTCCCTATTCCGAATCTCCGTCTGTTGTTGCAAGATATTGGCTCCGGAAATTTAGTTTTCTCCACTCTTGACCTGGCTAAGGGTTTCTTGCAAGTGCCAGTAGCTAAAGAAAGTCGACCACTTACCGCATTCTCTACTCACATGGGACACTTCGAATTCCTGAGAACACCATTTGGCTTACGTAATTCTCCTCTCACCTTCAGTAGATTGATGTCAATCGTGCTCAGTGGTATGATTAACGATCAGGTTATGGTTTACCTGGATGACATTTTAATATGTTCCCATCAGTCTCTGAACATGAGAAAAGTTGCGTCAGGTATTCGAACGTCTAGCAAGCGCAGGGCTAACCATCAACCCTGGAAAGTGCCAATTCTTTCGGTCAGAGCTCGATTTCTTAGGTCATACCCTAACGTCCAATGGCATTGCACCCAATCAGAACAAAGTACAAGCCGTGATTGACTTCCCCAGACCACAAAACCAAAAAGACCTGAAGTCCTTCCTTGGTCTTTCCGGTTTTTATAGACCATTTATCAAAGATTACGGATCTATTGCGCAACCCCTCACGACGCTGCTTAAGAAAGACGTACCCTTTGTGTGGGCCAAAGAGACAGAGGATTCCTTCCTGCAACTGAAGGCATTGCTAGCCAACGCACCTGTTCTGGCCTTCCCTGATTTTGAGTTGCCCTTTGTGCTCACGACTGACGCGTCTAGCGTAGGATTAGGCGCAACACTTCACCAAAAGGTAAATGGCAAGCTGCGCCCCATTGCCTTTGCAAGCAGGACCCTCAAACCCGCAGAGCGGTCGTATCATACTACGGACCGTGAACTCTTAGCTATCACCTATGCACTCCGTCACTTCCGGGAGTTGATACTCGGTTATAAGATAGAAGTACACACCGACCACTCCGCTCTCACGACCGCCCTTCACGGCAGAGATCCCCATGGAAGACGGGCACGTGCCATAGAAGTCTTAGCCGAATACGACGTAACGATCGTCTATTTACCTGGCCGGCAAAATGTCGTCGCGGATGCTCTCTCCCGCGCACCCTTGCCATCCCCCGCGGAATTACAGGCCTGTAAGTCCACCCCCTTCCCTCCTAGCTTTGCTAAACGTCATGAAGCCCGAACCACTGCGCCGGTGTTAGCTAACGTAGCTAACCAACCTGTGGACCCTCCCTCCGAGGAAGAAATTCGCCCGCGCAACGCGAGGACCCCGTTTACATGGACATAATAGGCAACTAGAGAGAGGCGAACCCTTGGTTCCTGTCAGACGCCTGCCAGTCCGACAATTTTATTTAGCCGACAGCGGCCTGCTCTTCAGAAGAGCCACCCCCAAGAAAATTAAAGGACGTCGGGGCCTCGTGAGAGACGTCGTAGTAATTCCGGAATCACTCGAACCAAGAGTCCTTCAACTCGTACACGAGTCGCGGGAAGCAGCACATTGCGGAGTGTATAAAGCCATTCAGATGGCCAGACAGAGATTTTTCTTCCCATTACTCATAACAAAGGTAAAGAAGCACGTTAAGTCTTGCAAAGTTTGTCCTTATTTCAAAGGCTCTACCAACCAGCCCGCCCCTGCCTTGCGATATGACGTCCCGGATTTTCCCTTTGAGAAGGTCTCCTGCGACACTTTATCAGGTTTTGTAACCACGCGTAGTGGGAATAAACACATTCTCGTATTCGTGGATAACTTTACCAGGTATTGCGAGCTAGTCCCTGTCCCAAATAAATCCGCGAAAGTCGTTGCAAAGGCCTTCCATGACTTCATCCAACGGTACACCACACCTACGTACTTCTCCTGTGAACGGGACAGAATTTCAGAATGAGGTCATGGACAACCTATGTAAGATAATGAATGTCACCCGTGAACATCTTACCTTATAGACCACAGAGCAATGGCATTACCGAGCGCCTTAATGGTTCTATTCTAACGTTTATGAGATCACTGGTCGACACCACATCTGACAACTGGGACGACCTCCTCCTCACCATCCAATCCGCCATTAACAGCACTTTCCATTCATCCCTTGGAGATACTCCACACTTCCTCTTGTATGGCTCAGACAAGAGACTGCCGTATGACCTTTTCCAGACTAGACGCAAGCCTGAATACTCGGACAGTTATGCAGAATATCTCTTAAACAGAAATAAGATCGCGTTCCAGAAAGCTAAAGAGTTTCTTACAAAATCTAGGGATCAAATACTGTCATACCAACATAAGATTGCGCGCGCTAAGTCCATAGGTGTCGGCGCCTTAGTTTTCAGAAAAGTACACACCAGTGACTCCATGCGTCCTAAACTCGCCCTCGCTTTGACGGTCCGTATAGAGTACTCGAAGTAAAGAACAATAAAGCAAATTGTAAATGTTTATCAACAAACACCGTTGCTTGGTACCATTTTGATAGATTGAAGCTAGCTAGCGATCACTACTCACCAGCACACACCTCAGACTAATTCAGTTTCCCACGCAACACAAATCTACGTCATTACACACCCAACACCCGTTATAAACTAACAGGCTAACACCGTGTCTCTCATTTCAGATGCTCGTTCTGATGCTCCTGCCATGGCTTCACCCTTGCTCGCCGAGCCAGGCCTACCCGAAAGGTTACGCGCCGTGCCCGGTGCATTAATCGAAAATCTAGGCACAGTATTCCCGATATCGAGTAATATCGAAGTTAGGGTCTCCCTTCGCCCCCTCTCTGATATTTCTAACATAGCCATTCACCACTTAAACGAGATAACCAGGCTCCGCAACGAAATAGCTGAAGACAATCTATCTCACGAGAAGTTCTTCCTTCTGGACAAAGCTATAAACTCA